TAATGCCAAGTCGGCCGGTGGCCGAGTGGTCGGCACGTTTGCTTTCCAACCATAAGGTCACCGGTTCGAATCCGCGTAGGGGTGGGCGTCCTCGCGGTATACTCAGCCCGCGCGCGACTGGTGGTGGTCGTGCGGCAGCGAAGCACCGTTACGGCGTATAAGCTGACACATTTCATTTCATTTCATTTCATTTTGTTAATGCCAAAATATGTCAACTATTATCCTCCACAATCGAACTGGTTACAGTGCAAAATACTAGCGGTACCTTGACTTTGCGGTGCGTTGTTGAAACACCTGATCTGGATATCATTATGACGAATAACTTAAAACTCTTAGCACCGGGTCAGCATGCCCCGGCAGCAGGAGCTATTTTATCTCAGAAGAGTTTTATGCAACGCCGAACCTGAGGTTTTTCCTTTCCTTATCTAAGGCGGTGTTACGGCCTTACTTAGAATACTGTGTACACGCTTGGGCACCGTATCCCCGAAAGGATGTTTGCATAGAAACGGTCCAAGAATTGGTCACTAGGATGCCTGAGGGCCAATTTGGGAATGCCTTAGGAGCCAACAACGATATCACACTGTATCGATACTATTGCGCGTAGCATTATATCCGTAGTTTTTTTTACATCTTTGTATTCTATAATGTTTTGTGTCTGTCTCATATATCGTATCTTTTGTATTGCGGCACTGTGGGCTGAAGCGTTTCTCACATTCAACTTATGTCTACTGATGGTGATGGTGACTGGCATGGGTTTACGTGTGGTGACCTTGTATTCTGGACTATTTGGACCCTCATCTTTTCTATGTGACACTTGAGATGACACGTCGATTTCTAACGGAGCTTACTTTTTCCCACATCTCTTGTCCATCGAAACGGTTCCCACTTCGCTATACGTGCTGAGCGAATTATGCACCAGTTCACTCGGCTTGACGATGCTTTTGTGTCAAAAACGAAACGTTGCCAACCCAAATACCACCTGATCGTTTTCCAACCCTTTTGACATTTTGTACTACGTTTTATCTTACATATCAACACTGTCGCGGTTGCATAGGAAGGCCAAGGGGTGGCGAGGAACGACGGAACTAACAACACGAACGTCATTGATGTTTTGATCATATTAATTGTCGGCCGAGTGGTCTGCGCGTTTGGTTTGCAACCATAAGGTCACCGGTTCGAACCCGCTTAGGGATTGATGTCCACGTGGTATATTCAGCCCGCCCGCGACTGTTGGTGATCGTGTTGCAGCGAAGCGCCGTTACGGCTTACAGCTAACATATTATTATTATTTTTTCATATTAACTACTGTGTCACTCCGAATGTATTCATCGTTTATCATATCCCAACTTGGTAGTCCAGATGCATCAACCAGGGTTAAGTTCACGGCGCGTTTCTTCATTCTTCTTGACCAGGTCATAGACTGGCCTCTCCTCTTCTGCCATTCAGGCGCCGATCGGGAGTAGGGTTTGTGTTGCCGGCGCCGATTTGCTGTTATGCGTAATACATAAACCGTTCATCTCAGCGCAGTGCGTGAAATAATCATGCTCGGCGGTTCACCTCCGCACCATAAACGAAGTGATAAACTCTGTCATTGCTCAGACGGTATTCCCACCGGATATGTGCTAAATTGCGATGGTGCCGTTGGTAGTAATAATCAGTAATCACCTTAACAGCTTACATGCCACCTCAACTGACGGCTTCTTGCAAAGCTTGTTGTAGCTCTGTGATTTAGTCCCGTCCTCTGCACTTACATAATTTGCATGATCGAAGAGGATGAGCCGCGTTACATCACAGGTTTACGTCAGTCATGGCGGTCACTGGCTGTTACCCATGGCTCAGTGGCATTAGTCCCTGACCCGTAAGAGCAAGGTCATGGGTTCGGGTCCGGCGTATACATATATATATATATATATATATATATATATATGCCAGCCTTTCAATTTCATTACAATTGACTGAGGGCCACAACACATAGTTTGAGATAGAAAACGACAGTTAGCGAAGAAGTGTTTCACAGCAAGCGCTATTGCGTTCGGTCCTTGGCCATATCCTGTAGCGTTTGCAACCAGATGTGCTCGAGGTCCTTTGGTCCCCAACCCGGGACTCGGGAACGACTAACAACAGACAACGTCGACGTTTGCGCCTTAACGCATTGGATCCAAGTTTTGCGCTGGCGTCCTTATCTTCGCTTTCATCCCACGCCTACGCTCACCAATATGGCACGTCGTGGTAGCCGCTGGGCAGGCATGCGAACGACATGCCTAAGCCAGCGAAGCCTCCGCATTAGAATGATGCTGTTTATCAGTCGGCGGAGTTTGTTAGATTTGAAGACGGATTCTCTCATTACTCATCTGGTGCTGTCATCAAACACCAGCAATTCTTCACAGGCCGTCGTGGTTGAAGGCGGATAGCCGCTGAACATCAATTTTGTGAACGCACAAATTCTCACAGCCGTGCAGCAAAATCGCTCGTACCGCAGCATTGTAGACTCGTGCTTTGAGAGCGTGGCTGAGGTCACAACGAATCCACAGGTGACAAAGGTTAGCGAAACTTATTCTAGCCTTGGAGACACGCAGGGAGATCTCATCCGTCAAACCACCGATACTAAGACAACTCCTAAGGTAAATGCATTTGTCGACCACTTCCAGTGGATGCTCCGAAAGGGTGAGAGAAGGAGATGCACTTGGCCAGTCCTGTAACAGGACTTTACACCTGGAAGGGGCACAGGTCAACTAAAATAGAGAGGCGGGAATCTCTACTCCATGCAGCATATGTTGGACGGTGTCATCTGCGTACTCCAAGTCCCGAGGCTAGTCACCACGGAACTCAGAGTTTTCTTGGGCAGTTTCCAGTCCATGCCGAAGTTAAACAAGAATGTAGAGGTTGCGCAACCCAGTCTAACATCACTAGTGATGCTGAATGGGGGACAAAAAGTCTCCGTATGCTCGCACGCGGTCCGAAGTTTAACAGTAAGTCGCACGGAGAATTCTGCTGTACTTTTCAGGTACTCCTCTCTTCAGTAAGCAGTCCAAAAGCCCCACTCTTTTCCGGGACAAACGCGGCTCGAACGTCAAAGAATATGACTATGGTTGGTCGACTAAACGTATGGCGGTGTTCAAATATTTGATGGATCGTAAAGATGTGATCGACGCAACTGCGACCTGGGCGAAATCCAGCTTGTTATTCACGTAGGTCCTGTTCCCGTACGTAACTGAGCCTCCGTAAGAGTAGAGCAACGAACATTTTGGATACGATATAAATGAGACTGATTCCATCATGATTGGAGAAAACAGTCTGGTCTCAATTTTTTTTATAGACAACTACAACCACTAATTTCTAGTCGTATGGGATGGCTTTAGTAGTCCAAATCTGATGAAAGTGGGCTGTCAGTTCATGGGTGATAGCAGGACCATCGTATTTGAATAGAGCAGTAGGAGGCCCATCTGGGCCAGGTGACTTGCGGCGCTTTAGCAGGCGAAGCTCATGGAAAATCTCAGTCTCATTCGGTGGGGAAACATCCACTCACCAGGAAGCACTGTGAATCCCGAAAGATAAACTCGGTTGTACTGGTGCCATGTTGATCTAATCTCCAAAGTGCTCTGCCCAACATAACAGACGACGGTGACGACTGTGAAATAGTTCGCCGTCATTTTCACGCAAAACTTCACTCACTGTTGTCTTTCCTAGACCGAATAATTTGGAACTATTTGCAGGAGTTTCATGAGGAGGTTGCTCGCCCCATCTGGACACCGCGTTGTGTCCACCAGACCTCGCGATCCTTCCTGGGAAGCGGTCTGAGCTCAGCACCTGTGGTTCTACTTAGTGCGTTGTGCTCAACTCCAGCGAGAATTGTCCGCCGGCTTTCCATTGATTGGGGAGACTGTGGAGATCCACTGACTGACAGCTTGTCTACGGAAGCCACAGACCAAGGTAGCGGAATTTCGTAAGGCTTTCTTAACCTATCCCCAGTGTGTCTCAGCATAGGAGGAAAGAAAACGAAAATTGGAGTCTAATATGTTCTGAAATGCGCCGCGAACATTTGGGGTGGCTAGCTTGTCTGTGTCAAGCCGTTTCTGGGGACACTGTTGCGTGCCTCCAAAGCGCACCACGACCTTGGCACACATGGGCGCACGATCCGACGTCAAGTAAGTATTCTAAATTGATTTGCAGTTTGTTATGCGACCTCGCCAACGGTAACCAATAGCGATGTGGTCAAACTGCGTCCAAGCTTGACCAGGCACCAGTGGTCGCCAGGTGACTCGTTGGCGCCAGGAGCGCCGGAAATTGGTGTTCGTAAGGAAAAAGCCGTGGTCGGCACACAGTTGAAAGAGTCGATCGTCATTGCCCGTCCTGCAATTACTGTGGCTGTGGCTGGCTCCGGCGAATTCGCGCTACTGACGAGTTCCAGTAAGGCAAAATGGCTGTTTAGCGCTTTCCTGGTTGTGTGGTGATTATCTGTGAATCTAGCTGCTACGAACTTCAAAAAGTGGTTCGCATCAATTTACATCGACATTCAGCCAATGATCACTTTACTGAAAGCAGGCTGCATTTTTACTAACTTCATCTCAGCTGGCTCACATCTCGTTAATTACAGGTGGTTTTTCGGCCCTTATTGACAATGAGCACCGATTTATTCAGATCTTCCGCGGAGGCCCGATCCTTTATCGATTCCCTTTGTGACAAAGAGATTTCTGTTCATATCACCGATGGGCGCTGTTTTGTTGGTCGTCTTTGGTGCACAGACCATATGGCCAATTTGGTTTTAGGTCACTGTACTGAGTATCCGGCTCCTTCTGATACTTTCCTTGAAGACCAGAAGCGCAACCTAACTACTATCGTTATCCCTGGGCGCCATATCATAAAGATTGAATGTTCTTCTACCCTTGTTCCACCTTGAATAATCGAACATCGTTTACAATAAATTCCTTTTTGTCCCTTGGGCTATTCCTTCTGATCGAATCTGAGCATCTTCTCCAATGCGACATTTTCTCTTTAGATTTATGAGTGATCACGGCAAAACGGAAACTTTTCGCATCTTATCTGTCGTTTTCGCCTACTGGTAAATTCACTTGTATTGGGTCAAACTATTTTTTAGGATCGTTTCCATCTCACTTGTTTTCATCAACAAATGGATCCTAAGTGACGCGGTTGAGTCGGTAATTTTTTGTTAATTATCTTTCTTATACACCGTCGGTCCCGACATTCAGGTGGATATTACGCTGTTTGTGACGTGGTTCCAATGCGCTGTTACTGCTCTTCTGTGCTCCGCCGCAGCCCACTTGAACCGTGTAGCCCCCAGCGTGATCAAATTTCCGTGTTTGAACTTTACACTAAAATCAGCCATTGATGTGCGTCTCATTTGATTCCCTCTCATTCCTATTGGCAGGTTCTACCGTTATCCGTCATGTTTGTTATGATGATCACATTGAATAATATCTGTCTGAAAAATTTGAATGTTTCGTTTTACTACCTGGCCAGGTGCTTGACCACAGTTTTCAACGTGGTAAGTTAGTGTCTTCATTTTCCCTATTCTGTGCGATTTCTGCAGTGTTGTCTACAAAATCCAACTTAGTGTTTGATCGATCGTCAGCGTTTTCCATCTTACTTTTGAATTCGTTCGTAATAGAAAGAATGATTTTCGATGTATTCCATCTTTCATCCTGGACTACGATCCAAGCAAAGACGCACTATTAATCATGTCCACTAAAAATTAGCTTGAATAAAACGGCTGAAAACCGATGTACATCAGATCCAGAGACTGCCAGTTGCAAGTAATCAGTCATATTCAAGATCTCAGCCACTAGCTTAATTGAACTAAATCTTCTAGGGTTCCTGCGTTTTTGCGTTGTGGGCTTATGGTTCTCACCAGAACGACGATTCACCATTTTTCGGTCCCCTTCCTCATTGCTATATCATCATTTAGTTACTCGTCTTCTCATTTGCGCTTTTCCGGCGAACACAAACTGCGAATGATTAGACGTCGACCAAACTGCTGTTGCAATATAGCGAAGAAGAAGTGTTTACCAGACAGTCTGGTAAGCTGCTGAGTCCTACAAAAAATCTCCAACGGAGGACCACAACCTTTCCCAAAGTCTAGAGAAACGCATTTGACAACAAATATTTCAAGCGAAATCTGTGCTCCTGATGTTGATCTTAACGCCTCCGTTGCAGCTACAAGAGATCACACAGCAGAGATTGCCTGTCACGTTGTTGTCCCCTGTGCGAGTATAACTGAACAAAAATGCACCTAAACCTATCCAAAAGACAGTCGACTTAATCACAACGCCGATTAGGCACAAGGTTTCATACACAAGAATAAACTGCCTTACCCAATCACCAAATCATATGGAACCAATTCAATAAGTGGAAACACATCTTCCTCGGGTTACTACTTGATCTAGAATAGTTGTAGCTCTAAATATACCTTTGTCTTACGAAATTGACACCGAAGAGTCATCTGTCCATGAAAGGACGGCTAGTCACAGGGGCAACGTTTAAACCATCTTCCATGGAGTGCTCTGATCTTGTGATCCTTAATCTATCAGATTCATCTAACGTCAAGATGCTGTATGCTCAGTGTAGAAAGCTGCGTCAGGTCACTCTATTCAGCAAAATAGCCTTTAGATTACCAAAAATAAGTTCTACGTCTAGCCCACAACTCCCGAAATACTGTCGAACGACTGCCACTCCATGTAGTCCATGCACCCCACAACCACAGTCCTATCGCAAAATTTTTGGGCCAATCTTGGAATTGGCCTCCTCCGCCCTTACCTCAGTCTGACACGCAGAGAGTCATCGCCTATTCAGCCAGTTTCTCAACCTAACCCAGCTACACATATACAATGGCCTCGGTGTTACCCAACTACATCATCGCCAACGGGACAAATACTACCGCACTCACACCCCTATTTTCAATGAAGTATTAAACGCTTTCTGAGCGGGACAATATTGTAATTCTCCTCCTCCGCCTCCTTTATACTAAGCTGCACAGCTTTCGCCATCTTATTCCTCTCTCACTTCCCCATTTAATACTAGTAACTGAAACACAGATTTTTCCCTACCTACCTTGTACATATTACCACTTTGAAGGCTACACCTTCGTGTATAGCCTTCGTACGGGCAATGGTTGTGGGTGCGCTATCTATGTTTGGAAACAGCTACTTACCCACTCAATTATCAGACCCACAGCCAAACAAGGTTAATGAATCCGTTTGGATTTCTGCAGAGTTGAACAATACCCACATTCTACTAGGTTTTCTGTATTCCTCCGCAGTGTGAAACCCTCCTTTTAAATAATCTCTCTTCTGCTTTTGAATACGCCTGCGATCTGACTTTCGCTCACAAAATTATTGGGGGTGCTTTTCACATCCCGTATGTCTCCTGGGAAAACTGGTCTGCACCACCTAGGCTCATGAGTCTCATCTCAGAAATCCAGCTACGGGGGTGGACACAAGCTGTGCAAAAACCGATGAGAGGTAACAACACATTGAACTTAATATTTACTCATGACCTTTGCAACACCACTGTGAACATGCTGTCTTTCTTTCCATTTACTGATCATAATGTGCTACCTTTCAGTGTCGTGTTAACAGTGCTAATCAAGAAGCCAGATCTTAAGCCTATGACAGCGTATCGCAGCGTATTTACGAACTTATGTTGGGTTAAAATTTCATCTCTGCTGAGAACAAAAAACTGGGATCTGTTCTTTCTTACAAAAGAACCACAGACTGCGACTCACGAAATTTGCGTTGAGCAAACAATGACCGAGTAAAACCTCTCATTAAGAACGCCGCGCTTATTAAAGCAATTAACGAAATTACACACTTAGATTAAACGGACGCTTGGTTTCTCCTTGTTAACAAGTCAGAGCAACCTCCTTATTGAACTTGAGTTAAAGCGCTCATGGAGATTACTGGCTGAAGAGAGAGGAGCTTTAGAGTCTAACAACAAATCCAGAGACCTAGTCAAAATGATGCGGACACGAAATAAAATCAAATCTGAGACAGTTTCCTTTATTATGCTACCGGACAAATCTCTGACTTCATATCCTTGCACAATAGCAAATGCGCTAAATAATCACTTGTTCATTGTTCTGAGTGACGTATTTTTGTCCAAAACACCTGTTAGCAATGTAAAACTGAGCACTTAGAGATATATAGACCGACTACGACCATCCTTTTATCCTGGCCCGGATGGTCTACCAACTTCCTTGATAACATATGATGGCCATGATGTACCACATTTTCTCCTAAAGATCTTTACCATGTCTATGCAGTCGGACATTTTTCCAATCCAATGCGAACTCTCGCTAGTCAATCCTAGGCACACAAGTGGACCAGAAGCAGACATCAGAAACTACCGCCCGATTAGTCACACTCCAACTGTTGCGAGAGTAATGGAACGAATAGTAAAAGGCAGTAAACTATTTGCTCTCACAAAAGCTGGTCAATCAGACTGAACATGGCTTTCTACAAAATGCATCATGTCAAACATGTCAAGCTAGAACTTTCCAATTTTTTTATCGAGCTCTGGATATTTGCCATGCAGTTAACATCCTTTTAATCGACATGCGAAAAGCATTCGATAGAGTGTTGCATGACTACCTGTTACAGAAGGGGACACAATTTGGCATCATAGATCCCTTGCGTGCTTGGTTTGCATCATATCTTACTGATCGCACTCAGCAAGTTCAGATAGATATTCGCGGATCATCGTCGCTGTCTGTTACTAGTGGTGCGGTCCGTGAGTGCCCTTGGCCCTTTGCTCTACTTAATTTACATTAGTGATATCACAGACACTATTAAAGATGGTACACCCTACCTTTTCACTGATGACAGGGTACTATACACCATTACTTCTAAGCATCTGAAACACAGTGGATAAGATAGGGAGAGACTTATTGGCTCACGAAATGTGGTGTGACAACTGGCAAATGTTATTCACTACGGATGAATGCGGGATATTAGCGTAGCGATGCAAAAATGATATGGACACTTTATATCTCTGCAGAATGCCAATTCCATTCCGCAACACAATAAGAAACTCGAGTATTCATTATTCACGCGCCCACAACTTCGGAGAGCAGGTCGAATTCATAGCAGCCAAATGACGCCAAACAGTGAGGCTAATCTTCAGATCACGGGTGTTGCGTGAGTCCTAGCTGCATATGTTCAAGATCTGCCTGCCTTCTCTTTTGGTACTGTTCGATGCTATTTACCAGTTGTAGGCAACGCTACCGTTTATACCTGGAGAACATGTAGTTCCGATTTCCCAAAGTCCTATTTACTGTATTTCCAACACTATTCGGAGCGCTGTATACTTCTTGCATTGGAGTCTTTGTGGCTACGATCGAAACTTTGAAGTTTTTGCTGTACTTAATGCACAAACCTGTATTAGCCCCGCACAGTACTAACACTTCATTCACAATGGAAAGTATGACATCAGGGATAAGACTAATTCGCTTTCTCCAAGTAGAACTAAGACAAACATACGCAGGAACTTTTGCATGACAAAGTACTCAGATATCTGGGACATGCTACCTACTGAATTGGGATTCTGAGAGTCTACTCAATCTTTCGGAAAAATGCTGGAAAAATACCTACCGTGTTGCAAGTCAAAGCTCTGCTGAAACCAGACTGCAGAATGGAAACAGTGTATGAAGCGGTTGCAGTATAGATGCGCATGGACAAATTTGCATGGTAATGTGTGCAAACTGTCCGAATACTGTCCTCTTCGTTTCGCTTAATTTTTAAGCTCTTACCTATTCTAACATCACGTTATCTCGCTTTCCGCCATGCGGACTTGATAGTTCCTTTCTCTCTTTACATTTGCTGCGCACTGCTAACTTATCTCTACTTTCCCGGAGAAAACTCGACTACTTTTGGCAGTTATTGATGCACTGCGAAATTTACATTTCCATATCATTTACTCTACAACGCGATTGCAAGAAGTCATTGCGCCTATCACAAAATCGTTTATGGCTTTTTTGTGTAATCCCTATGTACAACCTGAATCTGAATCCGTAGGATATGTACCCGTCATTTATCAGTAATTATATCTCACCACATTTCATTGTTGGGTACAACGTGGCCGATCTCCTGAGGCAGCAGAATGAAGCTTCCATATCATTCAATACACACGCGTGTGACGAATTGTAACAGACATACTGGCAAGAAAAATTATGCCTACTCAAGGCAACTTGGCACGGATTCAAAAGAGTCATAAGCCGAAATGCGTTGAATTGCTTAAAAGAGTGTAAAGAGATGCAAAACAGAGAGCTAATTTATCTCTCCTAGCCTATTGTTCACTGTACATAACAATGGCCCTAAAGATGAGATACTATGGTGATTAATCACTTGCTATT